TGTCCAAAATTGTTAGATGACCTAATATATTTCAGACAATTTGTCATTTTTTGATTGAAAACAAAGATAAGATAAAGATAGCAATAACATCACACGGACAAAACATGTATACTGACAACAAAACCAGGCATGTAGGAAGAACATATTTACCATGACATTGTAAGGATAAAACATAAATTTGTCTAACACGTTTTTTCAGTGGTGAGGGAGAAATGTAATCAACAGATGAGTCACAAAGTTAACTCTCTGAAAAAAAAATCAGTTTTGGGGGGTGCCTGGCTGGCTAAGTCACTAGAGCATGTGACTCTTGATTTCAGGGTTGTGCATTCAAGCACCATGTTAGGTGTGGAGCATACTTTAAAAAAATCACTTTTTCAAGAGAATCTCAATAATTCCTGAAAATTAACACCAGAAAAAAAAAATTTCTCCCAAGATGAACCTCGAAAAAATAGTGCAAGGCAGTGGACACCATACTGGACAACATTGTGACCTAAGCACAGTGAACAAATCCATAGAGTATTGCTTATGGGCTTCCTCAACATAGGTCAGAAGGACCTCACCCAACACAATTCAATAAAATCAATTATATTATTATATGTGTTCCATGTAAACTTCTCTCAGATCAACTAGTTTCATGCAGAGGGAGATTTCAGATGATGCTTAACCCTGAATATGCAAGATTTCATATCCTTCAGGAAATCTTTAATCCACAATGTTTTCTCAGCTGAGCTTTTGATTTGTATTGGGAAATTTTAAGGTCAATAGTATATGCTATGAAAAATACTTAAGAGTATAGCTATACTATGCTACCATTTCAGTGCAGAGCTCTTCAATAAAGCCAAAATGATAGTATACTTGACATCCTAAGAAAATCGTTGCAAATCTGCTAAAAATAAGAATCAAAATACTGTTCCTGTTTATATTTTTTAATAGAAAGAGACAGAAACAAAGAGAGATTAGGGGCAGAGGAAAGGAGAAAGGAAAGAGAGAATCACATTATTATTGGAATTCTAATGTTTTCTATGTTGTACAACATTTACTCAAGCAGTTGGGGTAGAAGGATCAGGAAAGGGAATGGACAGTTATTGGGTGCCTTCTAATCATTTTGAAATACTTCTTAGGTATCTGTTTATAAGGTATCAGGTGTGAGGAAATGAACAGAAAAAGATGTTTACAGGTTGTTATATCTGAGCACCCAAATATATGAATGCTTGCCTATGACCACTTTATTTATTTATTTATTTATTTATTTATTTATTTATTTATTTATTTTTAAGTTTATTCATGGGGTGGGGGAGGAGGAAGAAAGCAAGAAAGCAAGCCTAAGCAGTCTCCGTGTTGTCAGTGCAGAGCCCCATGTGGGACTTGATCCCACAAACAGTGAGATCATGACCTGTACCAAAATCAAGAGCTCGTCAGCTGACTGAGCCACCCAGGAACGGGCCCTGAGGCCACTTTAGCTAAAAGTTCTGGCCCTAAGTTAAAAGCTGCTGATGATAGAAATATTCTGCTGCAGAGGAATTAATAGAAACAACTGTACTCAGTGGAAATTGAGTTTTTGCAACTGTTCCTAATGGCAGCAGAACCTAACAAAACCTACGAGAATGTCAACCCAAAGAAACGTGGTGGTACCTCTGCATACTGACGATGATGAGTGGTTGATGTGGCAGAACTTGTAACCTCAGTGCTTACTAACTAGAATACTTCCTTCTGCTTTTTTATTTGGGCAAAGGAAAGAAAGAAAGGCCAATGTAAAGGAGGAATGAGTCCTACAGGTATTGGCACAAGTGGTTATCAGGGCAAACTAAAGATACCTAGTCAGTGAACCAAATTCACCAGTTGTGGTCTGTCAGTTATTCAAATGGAAAAGTGCCGTGTTTCTTGAAGAGAAGGCCAGGAGCTACTGCTATGTTAAACTCAAAACAACTTGGTATAAGTTCTTGATTAAATCAAATGTCATCTTATATTAGATGCTACTATATGTAAGTAGCAGGTGAAATGAAATGTTTTTTTTTTTCAATAGAAGGAAACATATACTCTTAAGAGAACATTTCATTTCATTTCATTTCATTTCATTTCATTTCATTTCATTTTTATTCATTGGGAAACATTTGCTGTCACCAGAGAAGACCTTGAAGAGAAACTAAAAACTGAGCAGATTTCCCAAGATTAGAAGAAATGTTAACTCTGTATGGAACAGATAGAATGATTAAGTTAATTGGGAAGAGGACAACTTTGTGAATTTTTGAAAATATACCTAATTGATGTTACATTTATAGTAAGCTCTCATTTCTTATTATACAAGTTACATTCTCTTAACTGTGTGTCAACTAATGTGTTAAAGATTTAAAGGGAGTTTTATGTTTGTAAGCAAGAACTTATGTACACCATAAGACTTCTAGACAGCTCTTGATGGTAACTTAGGTGAGAGACAAGTCAGTTATTTCCTAAAGTTCTACAAGTAAAGTGGGCCTGGGTAAGGCAAAAGATACTAGTGGATCACTATGTTGTTTGTTTCTAAATTTAGTGGATTAAAAAAAATCAACTTTATTTATTTATTTTGAGATAAACAGAGACAGCATGAGTGGGGGAGGTTCAAAGAGAGAGAGACAGAGAGAGCGGGAGAGAAAATGCCACGTAGACTCCATGCAGCCAGCTCACAGCCCGACAAGGAGTTTGAACCCATGGACTGTGAGGTCATGACCTGACCCCAAACCAAGAGTATGATGCTTAATTGACTGAGCCACCTGTGCACCCCAATACAGTGGACTTTTTACTGTTATCAAGCTGGCATATATTTTATGATTCATTAATATGTAGAGATTAAATAAAAAGTCTCTGCCTAAATGGATTTTTTTTAATTAAGGCTTTTTAAATTTTATTTTATTGGAGTAAGAATGCTTAACATGCGACCCACCCTTTGAAGTTTTTAAGTGCGCAGTACAATATTTTTCACTATAGGCACACTGTTGTACAGCAGATCTCAAGATCGTACTCCTCTTGCATAACTGAAACTTTATACCCATTGACTGACACCTACCCATTTCCCTTTGGCCCTGGCCCCTGGCCCCCACCACTCTACCATCTGCTTTTAGGAGTTTGACTCTTTTAGATCTTTGGTATAGGTGGGATCATCACATAGTACTTGTTCTTCTGTGACTAGCTTATTTCACTTAGCATTCCCTAAGGTTCATCCATGTTGTTACTGATTGCAGACCTTCTTTTTTTAAAGGCTGAGTAATATTCCAAATAAAAGGATTTCTAAATCAAAGGTTAAACTGCATGGCAGTTATCAGGAAAAAAAAAAAATGTGTCCATTGTAAACTGTATTGACGTCTGTGACAAGGTTTTCTAAATACGGTATCACAGGAGATTGTCCAGCCCCTGTTAGGCAGAGAGATTCAATTCACCTCTGTCCAGGGAAGCACATACCCTGCAGATTAGCATAGCAACATGTGACATATCTATTCATTCAACAATGTACTAATAATTCCGGGGGGGGGGGGAGAATAAAAACACGGCCATATTCCATGTAGATATTGACATACAAAGATATAGCTCCAATATAAAAAATACTGTGACTTAGAATCAGTTAAATATTGTTGTTCCTTTTCATTTCCTTTTTCCAGGGTATTGATCTGTTAAATAAGAAGGGACAGATACTTCCCAAGTTTAGAAGAGCCTCATTTCACAATTCAGAGTGATAGAAAAGCAAGCGCTAATATTGACCTCCCTGGAGAGAGCAAATGGAGGTAGAATGTCAACTGTGGCAGGGTGAGAATAGGGGGTGGAGGACACAAGCTGTGTACAGGGATCGGGTGGAAGCAGGATTTTGGAAAGCTCTAAACCTAGTGAGAGCAAATCATATTGTCTGTGACAGACCAAAGTACTCAGTTAATTAGAACAAAGTGATGCCAGAAAAAGGGGGAAACATTTTTTTTAATTAAAAACCTAGTTGAGTTTGAAGTAAAGAGCAAAAATTTTTCATCTGTCTATGCTGTCAACCCTCCATGCATGTGAAAATATATTTATTATTTTCTGTATTAATTTAATGAGTTCCAGATTGTACAGGATGTCATAATGGAAACAGGATTATATAAGATAATAAGGAGGGTTTTTTTTTTTTCTCTCTCTAAATGAGTTTTACCTAGACTCCCTGTGTCCCACTTTTGATCTTAACTGTGTTTCATTTACCACATTGAAGGAGGTTACATAAAGGGTAAAATAATAGAAACTTAATCAGGAAACAGGTTTTCTTACTGCTACATTTTATTATATATTCTTGCCATATTCTTTAGCCTAATTCTTGAAAATAATAAAAGATGTATCATTTTAAAATAAGGACAATTGAAACCACATTGCTTTATAATTGTGCATCTTTCTTCTGAGCCATCCCAAACATTTCACACCCATTGATCTTCAGAAAAACCATGTTGATTACTTAAGGGTTAGTGGTGGGGAGTATAAACTTCCTGAACTCTACCTTCTGTAAAATACTAGGTAAATATCAATGGCTGGTGAAGTTAATTTTACAGATGAAAAACAAACACAAAGAGGCAAAATAATTTCTCAGCAACAGATTCTTGTTTCCAAAATCTCAGTCAAATAACTTCTGCTAGAGTAGTACACTATGAACTGGCCCCATTAGTCAGAGCATAGAGTTTTATAGTTAAAATAATTTCTTGGAAAGTATTACCATGGCATATAAAGATGTATAGTTATACTGCACACATGACTGGTTTTGTTAACGTAATGCTACTTTCTGGTAGGCAAATCTCTGCATGTGCTTTGTATAAGCTATACCAAAATAATGAGTCTGTTTAAGCAGCCACTTGGGTTCTGAAACCTTACGTCCATGACATTTCTGCCATCCTAAATCAATTTGGAAAAGACTTCCAACTTGGCAACAAATTTATCTTCTGAATTTCCAAATAAATACTTTGGAAGGTTGAGTTTACTTCTCTAACATTTCCTCATTTCATTTCCTCATCACTGGCCAGATAATCACCATGGCCACAGCCTTGAAGAAAGAATCATCTATGGAGTAGAAAATAGTAGCACGTTCCTGGAATGCAGTCCAAAATCACAGCGAGCTCTGGTCTATTGGCAATTCCAGAGGAGAAATGAAGAGCGAAAAGAAGAGGTATAGGAATGAAATTGACTGGATTATTTCTATCTAACATATACTGTTAAGTGACCCCAACATGGTTGACTTGAGGGTGAAAAAAATACTGTGAATCTTTATCCTTTTCTTAACCCATCAATAGTCCATTCATTAAACAAGCATTCACTGAAGGCTGATCATATGACAGGCTTTGTGCTAGGAACCGGAGAAACAAAGGTGAGCTGATAAGAATTTGTCCCAGAATCCATTTGGAGATATATTTGAGAGTCTTCTTTTTCCATGTAGTTATCTACAAAGAAAGTATGTTATCTATATTTTTGTACCAAAAAAAAAAAAAAAAGAAAGAAAGAAAGAAAGAAAGAAAGAAAGAAAGAAAGAAAGAAAAATCCTCTACTAATTTTAACTTTTGTTCAATTAATTCTGTTATCCAAACATGTTTTATTTTCTCTACTGACTTTCTTCTCAAATGAGGAGGAGAGGTTTTGGAACGGGGCTAGGAGTTTTAGGATAAAGAGTATGAACTATACATGAAGTATGAACTATACGTGAAGCATCAGACAGATCTTCCTCATCAATGGATTGATTCATTTATTCCTGTGTGAAATTAAAGAATCGTACAGAGAAAATCTCCATATTCTGAGCCTTTTAAGCTTTTAAAAAATATTAAATAAGGGTAACTAATCGGACTGTGTAGGTATTTGTGAATGTATTCTGTGCAAATAATTTTACAAACATAATCTGAATATAAAACCCTCCCTTTTTTGACATTTGAAGCATCGTTGAATATGTAATCACACCCTACAAACGTCGAAGTTGATTTTATACAATTTTATACACTATCAGCTTAGGCCTTTCCGAGATGTCTGTTGTAAACCGTATTCAAAATAAAAGTAAGGTTAGGTACATTCAAGAGCATATCTTTATATTTATGTCACACCTGAGACTTAGAAAACTGAATAAATAATTATTAAGCATGTACTCCTATGCATTTTTCTTCTTGCTCAACTGCTGCTGATTCTTAAATTTTTTCAAATCTTCTGAGTTCATTCTAATGCTGTCCTGTTTTCTAATATCGTGGTTCTGTATTTCCAAGATTTAATGTTAACTTTCTCCTATATTTATATACCTTCTTTCAAGTTTATAAAATAAAGTATATCTGTGTCCTTTCATTATCTTGAATATCTTAAATTATTATAATGAAAACTTCTATTAAGATAGTAGATAACCAATATTTTCCATTGTATCTTAAAAACAATTTACAGAAATTTCTAACTCTTTTTCTGATGGGGAAATGGTATCATCTCTCTTCAGCTAGAAATTTTATCAACTTTAAAATGTGCCTCAACACATAATCTAAGTTTTTACTGAGACAGCATTTTAGAACTTCTGTTTCTTTTAAATATGTATATTTTTACTACCGTTTTCTTCTGCCAGATCAGAGTGGATGATCACATCATCAGGACAGAACAAGGCCTTCTACTGCGTAGCCTACAGCGGAAGGATTCAGGCAATTACCTCTGCCATGCTGTGGAACATGGTTTCATGCAAACTCTTCTGAAAGTGACCCTGGAAGTCATCGACACAGAGCATTTGGAAGAGCTTCTTCATAAAGATGATGATGGAGATGGCTCTAAGACCAAAGAAATGTCCAACAGCATGACACCTAGCCAGAAGGTCTGGTACAGAGACTTCATGCAGCTCATCAACCACCCCAATCTGAACACAATGGATGAGTTCTGTGAACAAGTGTGGAAAAGGGACCGAAAACAACGTCGGCAAAGGCCAGGACATGCCCAGGGGAACAATAACAAATGGAAGCACTTGCAGGAAAACAAGAAAGGTAGAAACAGGCGGACCCACGAATTTGAGAGGGCACCCAGGAGTGTCTGAGCTGCATTACCTCTAGAAACCTCAAACAAGTAGAAACTTGCCTAGACAATAACTGGAAAAAATGCAATATACATGAACTTTTTTCATGGCATTATGTGGATGTTTACAATGGTGGGAAATGCAACTGAGTTCCACCAATTATAAATTAAGTCCATGAGTAACTTTCCTAACAGACTTTCCTCCTAATACCAACACCTAATAGAGGTCAGGTGAACGCAGAGGTTCACTTTAGCAGACTTAATGTTTCCTATGAGATTTCATTGTACAGGTTTCCCTTTCTTCTTTGCCTGAGAAATAAAAATGTCATTTGCCATATTGCCATCTAAAGAAGAAAAACTGCATCAGCAAAGCCATTTTATTGAACTAAAAGTCTAAAATAAACTGCATGGATTTATGAAGCTGATGAATATTCCAAAATATAGTTGGATTCAAGGATATTTTTTGTCTACCAGCACTTGTGTTTATATGTACTGGAGGAGTAAAATGAGACTGAATGAAATGGTCTGTGGAAATATAAAAAAACATAAACCATCCATCATCCAGAGGAAAAATGGAATACACTGATCTACTACTGATGTCTTCTTTCAGCTTTGATCTAAAGATGTATTTTATTAAAACTATAATTTAAATGTACCATGACAAATATGCAGTAAAAATTAGCTCTTTTCTAAGCTAGAGTAGGCTTTTGTCTTACAGTTATTGTGCTCTATAGTTTTTGTTTTACAAATTCCAATTGTGTGCTGCTTTTTTCCCCCTGACATTGTGTTTTTAGTTCTGCAAGAGGGATAGCCGATATTGTTCAAGAAACACATAAACATCATTAACAGTTGATTCCTAAAACCTGGACATAAATTATGCTTTATTTCTCTGAGGAAGTCAAACAGATAACACCCCCCTTCGTTAAGCATGATCAAAATTAATTTTAACTTGCATAATGTTCTTAGAAAAAACAGAACATTTAACCAGAAGAAAAAGGAGAAACAATTTTGATTTGTTCAATGCATTGTGTTGCACCTAATGGTTCAATAAGGAGAAAAGGAACTGCGTATTTCATGAAAATAATAAGCATTGTTTTAATATAGCATTAACAGAAAATCTCTTAATTTTGTGCTTGAAAACCCGCATGATATTTGAGACATAAAAACTCTCATTATTCCTTTAGGAATTACATTTGTGTCACTTAATTTTCTTGAAAGAGATCAGTAATATTCAGAACAACATCTTAAAAGCAAATTTTCCAACTCTGTTTACATCTGTATCAGCTGTCTCTTACCTCACCTTGTTTAAAGCAATGATCTGTTTTAAAACAGATCATCTTGATTCATTTCATGTTGATGGGAGTGACTTTTATACAAACTGTTTTCTGGGACACAACTCACACTTAAGTCATGTAAAGCTTTTTGTTTACTCCAACAACTTATAAAATAAGGTAAAAGATGTTCAATAAAGGACTTGCCTCGTCCCTTGTCCTAACATGATTCCTTGAGAATCATTGACTTCAAGGTTTATAAGGCCTTCCGCATTATGATAGTTTCTTTTGCACTGCACTCACCTTTCCAGGAATCCCTCCCTAGATTCTTCATCATGCACAAAACTGCAAAGGAAACATCTTCTTGCTAATTAATGAAAGCGGCATTGAAATTCTAACTCTAGCTGTCTTGGGATTCTAATTAACTCAGCATTAATTTCTCACCTCAGACTACAGTGAATTTTTTAAAAAAAATTCTCAGCTGAAATATTTCACAGATGGGAGCTCATGTTTCAATTTAGTTGTCTGAATAAACAATTTGTTAATGCCTATTTCAAATGAAAGTCTAAAAATATTCTACATTCAATTTTAGGCTCCATTGATTAATCCGGTGTTACTTACAGAAGTACATCCTTAAACAGTATTTGAATTTTAAATTATTTGAAGGACATATTTCTGTAGAGAAAAAGCAACGTTTGAAATACAAATCAAAGAACAAAGAGGGCTCCAAAAATAGGTATTTTTTTTCTATTTTCATGGAGTATCTTAACTGTGCTAAAATTTGGTGTCGCATTTCCTTCTAAATTTTCAACTGAAACAGATTTGCAATAACAGAAGTATCTTATTTCATAGTAGTCCTCAAAATAATGGACTTGAAGGGATGGAGGGGATGCCTTCCAATATCCGAACGCATTTTGTTAAGCATTATGAAATACGCAGAGAAAGTAAGTTTAGACGTCAAAGAAAAGAAACAAAACAAGGAAATCTACTTGCATGTCTTTATAAACTATCAGGTCTAAGTTTTCGAAGAAAATTATTGATATAACTTGCAGGTAGATAGCTCTTATTACAGTCATAATCTGCCAGTGTGTATTAAGAGGGGACAGTTTGCACGAAAAATAATCAACGTCCCACTTAATTTAATTTTAATAGACTTTGGCATATGCATGTATCATCAGAGTTGAAACTTTGTTAAGACACTCATGTGAACATAAGCAAGTTATGACAGCACTCTTAAGATTGGAAAAAGGTACATCGCAGCAGAGAAATGATGGCCCAGTTGAAATCAAATGTATAATGTAAATGCATGTAAATGCACACTTAATGCTACTTTATGTATTATTTAGTGATTTTCAATGGTATGTGTTTAATATTTTTGCTACCTATACATTAGGCAGAAGAGATGTAAATAATTTTGAAAAGAAGAGGAAGGACAGTAAACTTCAACTTTTTATAGGGACTCCATTTCAGTGTGTTCAATATCACCCTAAAATGCAAGATTTCCCCACACAGGTGACAAGGTGGTTTATGTGCTATTTAAGGACGGAGGGTGTGTGCCCATTCAATAAGCATGTTTTTTGCCAGGTAGTAAATATGTTCCATATCTGTATTTATCACTGCATTTCAGATGGGAACTAGAAAACTGGAGAGAAAAATGTAATGAAACTGCTGCTGTAAATTATTCCTTTTAGCATGTATTCAGTTGCTAAATACACATTTCTTCAAAATATTTGAATTCAGATGTCTTTACTGTTCCCTGTAGCATATGGTGTCAAGGAACATAAGTTTAGAAAATGCTGAGAACCAGAGTCAGGTTGCAACATAATCAGCTAGCAGATTTCTCCGTTCTAGTCATCTGTAAACTGAGTTCTATATTTATGGTGATGATGTTCATTTTTATGCCCTTTAAGTTAAATATTGTTATTTTTTATGTCATGCCTAAAAGAGGAAATATAGGGATGAAATTCTATAATGTGTCATTATCATGCTCAGTTTGGTTTCATTCAGGATCGACAAGGATGGCCAACAGTTGTTACTGAAATTGCCTATCCTTAAGGTCATAAGCAAGCATTTCATCAATATGAAGTGATCAGTATAACATTTTAAAGGCTTTGTTTTATGAGTTCATTTTTAAAACACAATTTGCATTCAAACTTTAATGGAAATTATCCATTGTGATGTCTTCAAAGACAAACTTAACAAACAAGATTCAACATCATCTTATTGTGTTATCATGTGTTAGATATAAACTGGCCTAATGCCAAAGGCACCCATGCTTTTTATTTTAAAGCTGTAATAATTATCCAAATTCATTGTTAATGTTTGCAAAATACGTGTTTCCATAAAAAGGAAAACATTGTTTTTCACAAAGTCTGCAAAAGCCTATTAGTTTATCTGCTTTCTAACAATTTTCTTGCACTAGTTAATTAAAGACACATACTTTTTTAAAGTTAATATACTGGGGCGTCTGCGTGGCTCAGTTGGTTTAAAGGTCTGACTTCAGATCAGATCATGATTCTGCGGTTCATGAGTTTGAGCCCCGCATCGGGCTCTGTAAGGACAGCTCAGAGACTGGAGCCTGCCTCATAGTCTGCATCGCCCTCTCTCTCTGCCCCTGCCCCCGCCCCACTTGCACTATGTCTCTCTCTCTCTCTTTCTCAAAAATAAACAAACATAAAAAAATAAAGTTAATATACTAAGAGGACCTATGATGAACCTTTGAAGCCACAGGAATGGTATGGCCATTTTCACAGTCAGCCAGCCCAAATTAAAACAGCTTGGTTTTAATTTCAAACATGCAAGCACACACAAGCAAAAGGAGAGGCACCAAATGGAACCCAACCAAACAAAAAGATGATTTCGAATATAAAGAAATTAGGCTTCTAGACCCTTTGAACTTTAGACCCAGACTCCTACCTGTGCAATTAATTTATGTTGGTAGATCTTTTCTGCCTACTATGTACTAGGCACTGGTAGGCGATGAGGATATTTTACACCTTACCACACATACTCATTGATGCTATTTGGCAAGTCTTTCTTGATCCTTCCATCTCTAGATGAAATTAACCACCTTCTCTGCACTAAATCTGTGCCTTGTCTGTACTTTTTGTTGCCACACTTATCACAAAGGTGTAGTTTCTTTGTTTACACCCCCATCCCTTTCTAGACTGTAAGCTACTTGAGCACAGGGTCTGTATCTAATTTATCTCTACCCCCAGTTCCTATCATGATGGCTGGCATGGGGAAGAAGCTCAATAAATCACTGTTGGAAAGAACCAGGTCACAATGTGATGAGTGCCAAATGCAAACAGAGGATAAAAGTGCTATGAGATCACAGGGGAAGGGATGAATTTCAAGAGAGCACGGAGAGCTTCAGAAGATAGATAAGTGACATGCAGTCTGGGAATTCACATACATGAGAAATGTGCCCAGATAAAGCAAAAGAAGAGCAGAAAAAAGAATGAAAGAGAGGTGTGAAAATAAATGCTTTTATTATGGGAACAGGTATTCCAAATAAATTATAGAGTTCATAAGCAAAAATAAAATGCCCCACTACCGAGAAAGTGTTGGGTTTGTTTATTTTTTCCCTGATTTTGGTTTATTGCCCTCTCTTTGCACCCTACATTCTCATCACTGGCACATGGTGTCATTCACTCCGCTTCTCTCTACCCCCTCCCCATTTTGTTCACCCTCCCTATCTTCCCTCTTCATGTTGACCTCTTTTGTCTTTACTTAGCTGGAGTCATAGCAA